CCCCCCCCCCGAAAAAAAAAATAAAAAAAAAAAAAAAAAAAAAAAAAACAAGGACCCCCCCTTCAAATAATCCTGGATCCGCCCCTGTATATACGGCCCTTACTGTAGGGCTCAAGATATGCGTACTTGTAATATTGTGCTGGTCTACCACATCCGTCGCTTTGTTACTCTGTATAATCTGCACTGTAGACTTGTATTGATAATAACTGCACTCTGCTGACTCATGTCGCTACTGTCTACATGCATCTCTACATTTTTCTTTTCTGATTCTGTCGCAAAAAATAATAATAATAATAATAATAATAATAATAATAATAATAATAATAATAAATAAATAAATAAATATCAAATAAAGATAAATTAATAATAAATTTAATTACCCATGCTAAAAAGTAAAATGATTAAGACGTGACGTAAATTATTTTGTCATCATTACCTACTAAATTATTTATTCATAAACGCTGGAGTTCTTGGCCCACATAAGTTCCCTTTGTTTTGAAGCATAATACGACAGATAACGCAAAACCCAGCCACCGTTATGAGTCTGGAGAACATAAAAAAATCAGGCAAAAGAAAACCGATTTTCTGGTTTCTTCGCTTACACACAAACCAACCGGTTTCACCCAACGCTAGCACTACGGACTTAAATCGAAATTTGCTGTACTTTGCAACGAATTCTTTTATGCCGTTTGACAACAGCAATACTCCAACGCCTATGAAATTTGAAATGACAGGTTAAAATACATGCTACGAATGAGACACGGAATATCACGTGTGAAATTAACTATATACATGGCGGTAAACTCCCTAGCCGTTTCGGCTCTACGTTGAGTAGATAAATAATTCTGGTATTTTCACTCCATACACATATTTTTAAAGTTTACTGTGTGACAAAGAGACAAAATGCCAGCATTATCTATTGCCATAAAAGGGATTTTCCTGGGGTAAGCATCAATTTTCCCATATTTTCCAATGGTTAATGATACCGTTCCCGCATTCAAAGTTAGCCAAAAATGTTTTTAAGTGTGTTTTTTGTAATGGTCTCATAAGAGACTACGGAGGGTGGCCAGCTATGAAGGCCCTCGTGGTTCGATAGCAAGCACAGATTTTATAATAATTGCAATAATCGCCTTTCTTGTGGTCAAATGGAATTCATAGTATTTCTGTGTGTTGATGTATTCAGCGTGGGATTTTATATGAAGCGTTGATATCCCTTTAATTTATGTTTTTATTTCTAAGGTTGGCTGGATAAGTTTCTGATTAAATCAGCGAGTATTCACAGATAGATAAAATAAACTGTCTAGACATCTGTTTCGCCCACACACAACCGCCTGGCCTATTAACTTGGCCTCTTAGCATATGGGCATTTCTATGAGCATTCAGATAATCACGAAATCTGTCTATTTAATCGTTTAACTTTACTCGGTCTAAAAACATGCACAACCGAAACCGAATCGTTGTTTTTATTCATCTTTTTATGAGAAAGATATTTTCGGCGTCCAGCAAAAAGAAAAAATCATAGGCACTACGGCCTAGGAAAAGTACAAGACGATTTGCTGTAAGGCATTTGACCTTCAAATCAAGGACTCAGACAGTCCAGGGT